AGGATCCAGATTCCTCTAAATTTTATGTGATGTCCCTGAAGAGCTTTCATTTTCCCAGAAACCTACATGCATGGCCTTGCCTGCTGACTTGAGAGATGGAAGAGACTTCCTTGATAATTTTTATATATATATAATATATAATATGGATAATATATATCCATACAGTTCTTAGAAGTGAAAAGGTTGCTAACTGCTGAGTTTACTCACCTGCTTTCCAGGATGAAGGTGCCACAATTTAGTTGTCTATCCAACAGCTCTGTAAATACTTAAGCAACACTGTAGTGGGATACCAAGGAATATTGCCTTTGAAATATTTTATCTTCAATATAGAAGGCACACATAAATCTATTTTTGGAATGAAAGAGTCCTTTGTATTCTATTTTTTTTTTAAGAATTTTGCATTGGAAATTAATCTGGCTTCCTCCCCCAGTCCCTGTAGGCAAAGCTATCAATGACTGAGAGACCTTCTTTCATACAGAGATTCTTTTAAGAACAGAGGAGCCCCGTCCATGCAGCAAGAGCAGAATATGATATTAGGTCTCTGAAATTGTTCCACAAAATCATTATTTACAGATCTCGGCTGTACATCGGAGAGAATTTTTATCTGAGCAGATTTAATAGGGAGGAGCGTTAAATAGCATTGGTATTTTTTACTTGGAGGTTACTGATTTACTACCCGAAGTTGTACAATACATTAATTACCAGAACAATTGGACCTATTGAAGTTCTGAAGTGAAAGCCAGAAATTATCAGATAAATTTAGAGTTGTGTAATTTTCTCATAACCCTTCACTTGGAAAGCCTTTCTGCTTCCAGTATAGGATGAGGTCTGGCAGCGGGGTTAAACCCTGACCCCTGAGTGTTCTATATGGACTTGTTCATTTCTGCCACATTCTTTCAGTTTAAATTTAGATTTGCTGGCAGCTATTATGCCTCTTGCAATAAGCCTCATGACCAAACACTGAAACAAATATGCCTTTCATCACAGATGTTTTCTCCGAATAAGATTAGTGAAGAACACTCGAAAGCTGAAAAACAATGTGCAGAAGCCTTTGGTCCAAAAGACACTAACCTTTGAATGTCTGGAACATATTTTCTTCTCAGTGTTAGAAAAGAGCAAGTAAGTGTTTAGATGATTTGGCACAATCTTGCACCTTGTTTTACCTCTAATTTGTTGAAATTTCATTGGTAGTAATGAAATTTCAGCTATGTGAATGAATACAGTCAGGATCCATATGAATGTGTACATGTAACAAAGTCATTAAGCTGTTCTAAAATAGACTGTGGTTGCTGAAGGAAATAGCAACATAGAACTGAGTTTTATGTTTGGCTGATTGCTAAATATATCTTAGTAAATCTTATTTGTTGGGATAATTCTATGCAATAGCTATCTTAAGCACAATAGCTGCATCTGTAACTGATTTTAGGAAGTTCATACCACTTACTTTTCTATTTTCCATGGATGATGATGCTTGTTCTATGATTATGGGTTTTTTAATCTAGTGTGAGTATGTGGGACTTGAAAAATCTATATGGCAAAGGAGTTCACTTTCAAGGGCAATAATTTGTTCTTGGCCTAGGGTATGCCATGATCTTCATAGACAATGTTGCTCTACATTGAAACACTTGTTTGACAAAGGATTCTCTGGTCTCACTTTCTACAAGTGCTCATCTGTCTAGGATAGGACATGAGGAAATGGTCTCAAATGGCACCATGGAAGGTTTAGACTGGATATTAGGAAATTTTTATTTTTTTTTTCCATTAAAAGGGTTGTCAAGCATTGGAACAGGCTGCCCAGGGAAGTGGCAGAGTCACCATCCCTGGAGGTGTTTAAAAGATGTGCAGCTGCAGCACTGAGGGACATGGTTTAGTGATAGACTTGGCAGTGCTGGGTTAGCAGTTGGATTTGATGATGCTAAAGGTCTTTTCCAAACAAAATGATTCTGTGTTCTAAGGTATCATGTAAAAAGTGTTTCTGTAAAGAACTTCTGTCTCTATGCTTTCAAGGTTCTTCAAAAGGTAATAGTGTTCCTATGCATTGCTGAATGGCTATGGCTCCAACAAAGAAAGACCTTGAGAATATATGGAAAGGAGTGTTCTCCCTGTAACCTTTTAGGGAAAAAAAACCCAATGAATAAAGCATGCTGTGATTCTGTAGATAATTTAAAGTGAGATTTTTTTTTTTCCTTCTGAAGGGCAAGACACAAAAACTTCCAAAGGCGCCCTGACCCTACTGCCTCTGCAGTTGCTATGGGCAGGAAACACTGGTACTCAGATCTTCAGAGCACTTTGATAGTGTCCAACCTAGTTGCTGGGGCTGAACACTGTGGAGCTGTGTTCCTCATGAATGGATTAGGCAAAATTTATTCACTGGGTAGAAGTCCTACTGTGCAGGCTGTATATTTTTGAATGTAAGTAGCATCATGTTTTTTCTGTTTAGCAGGAATTTCAGGCAACCTTTGAAATACATAGCCAATCAGCATTTGTTCCAAATGGTGCTTTTGTGCCAAATTTCCAATTAGTGAATGGCATTTGTTAACTAGGCCCGTTTGGCTTTATCTTCAAGGATAATGAAACCCCATCTTTTTCCTCATCCCCTTAATAGACACAATATAGAGTCTTACTGAACTAAAAAAAAAGAACTGAATGGAGAATGCTAGGAGATTTATGGTTTGGTGAAACTCCTTAGGACTTGTATTTTTTAGAAATGACTGTGATTTGAATTCTGTAGCATTAAAACAAGAAATTTATAAAAATAAGGGGGTTTGGTTTATACAGTTGTTTGAAAGAACATTAGTGAATATTGGAGGTAGTGTTCCAGTAGGTAAATATTTGTTGAGATAAAGGGGAAAAGTGCTTCCCTGTGCATGGAGCTGTACTTTTTATTGTAATGCAATATCGTGTGTGCTATCGCATACATTTGGAGTCTTAGAAATTTTTTGAAGTCTTCATGAATTGTTATCTTTGCATTTTTTATGGAAAATGCTAAATTGGAGACACTTCTCAAACATCCCTCAAAATAATCTTTTTTTGACACGGAACGGGAAGTGGTCTGTTTCAACATGTGGAAGTTGCTCCTGTGTCTTATTAAACTCAGAAATCCAAAATTCTAAAGTAACCTTCAGTGCTTGTCACCTGGCAAGAACAATTTTTGCATAGCTCACAGAAATCAAACACACTTTACTCATTTCCCTATGTGATTGTGACTTAAGAATTGTTTACTATTGTTAAGTAAGAAAGCATATTCTTGCAGCCCCTTTTTCATAAATTGCATTTTAACTGTGTTGAGAAATAGAACAATAATATTAGGTTTTCACAGAATTTATACATTATTGTTTGTGGAATTTGGGCGGGTTTCCATGTTTTGTCCTTGTTGAGTCTTTTTTTGAGTGCTCTTTAGTATTGGAAAGATCAGTATGTGAGGAAGCAAAACCACAGGAAAACATTCGCTTTGTTTACAAATGAGTGTTGTGGACATATATCAATATACACATTTCCTGTGTGAGGTCATTTCACTCAGAATGGATTCAATATGGGAAGTGTCTTTTAATATTCATTTTCTGTGGAACATCCTGTAGTTTACTTGGAAATAGTTGGGAAGACAATGGGAAGCAATCAAAGTATCTCTAAATTTTAATAGCTGTAGAGTTGAAGTACAGCTTAGCACTTATAACAGCATTTCAGGCAAAATACCCAGAGGTTGTAAAAAATTGTAAAATTCCAAATAAAGGTTTGGAAATGTAAAAATTGGGATATTTATTTTTCTGTGCTTTGAAACAATCCCTATGAAGATCATACTAGCCCTTCTGAAGGGAACATGTGTCTGTTGCTAATATGGGACTCAGTGTCTGATGATTTGGGACCTTAGTTACTGTGGAGAAGATGAGTAATTCCGTTAGTAATAATATATGGCAGTGTAAGAGTGGAGTGCATCTCCTGGATTCTGTTTGTAAAGTTTTTTTCCCTACAATAAAGAGCCAATTACAGTTATCTTTCTGTCCCACATGTGAAACCCTCCTAAGGAAACAAAGCACCATAAACATTTATCAGGTAAGAGTAATAACAGTACTCATCTATCTCCTCTAGGCTTTGAGGAGTGTTGGTTATGATGCTCTTAGGATTATGGTAGGATGAAAATGCATTATTACTGTTTGTCTGCTCATGCTCACTACGGAATTATCTTCTGTGCAAAGATATGTACTGTTTGTGAAAGGAAGGAAGATGAAAGAACTGAAGTAGCTTCAGGACAGAGACATCTGGGGAGCAGTAGCTGCCCGTGTTGATAGGGAGGTCAGTGTGACTGGTTTTTATAGTGGATCATTAGAAGTGATGTGAATAAAGAAAACAAGGCATAATGCAGCAGTATGCGTAGGGACCACCATGGAAAGGTGCTTAAGGAGAGCACCGGAAAAGATTTTGAGGAAACTAAAGAATAAGAAAAGCATCTTTGTCGATTACATTACAATGGATTAAAATTTTTGTAATACAGTAAAGCTCTTCAGATAAAAAGGAAAGATGCATCCTAGTGATAAAATGAACAATAAAGTATTCCCACCGTATGGGCAGAGGATTTTACAAGTCTAGAATTATAGTAAGGAATATAATACAGTGCACATGATGACCTTCAATATTCTGTTTCCTGTTGGCAACAAGCAATCAGTGGAGAGATGCTGAAATAGAAGTGGCTTAAGAAGAGGCATTAAAGTGACTTTAGTTTTAGTCTTGGTTCTGCTTAGCTTGAAATAGCAGTGGGTCACCCAAAATGAAGTGTTAGAAAACCATTCAGATATACAAAAGTGATTTGAGTGTGTAGACCAGCTATGAATATGTGTCATCAGGATTGGAGTGGTAATTGAAGCTTTCTAAATGGAAAATCTTGCTCAAGGACAGGGAAAGAGCTGGTCAGCTTTTTCCTTGGGGGCTGGAAGAGAAAATAAGCATCTTCAAGTTACAAACAGCTTGACTATTTTAAGACTTCATGTATGTTTGATTTCTTTTAGACCCAACCAGAAAAAGAATCTGAATGGCCAGACTCTATGTCGTGGCTTATGAAGAAATTGGAAAAGTTGAACTTAGATATTGAAGAAGCTCTGAGTGCTGGATCTTCTCCCTCCAGTACTCCTTCCTCTAAAAGGCACAAGCAACTGGTAAGAATGTGTCTGTGTCATGTGATACGTTCTCTAACATTTAGCTACAACACTCCTCAAGCCATAGTTTTCAGATCCAGCTGTTTCTGAATAGGCTGAGGAGCTTACATGTTAGGGTGAAGTTAAAAGTTTTCGCTCAATAAAATGAAATCTCTAATTTCATTAAGTAACTAACGTTCAAATAACCAGAACTGTGATAGGGTGAAACTTGTAAGTTTTCTGTCAGTATGGCTTAAAATCATTAAACACCTTTTTTTTTTTTCTAGGAATATTTGCTTGCATGTTTTTCAGATTGTTAACTTAAGTGCTAGCCTATTAATATTTGTTATATTTATTTAAAGATATAACAACAAGCGAGACACTATCTTCATTAAGAGTTGAATTAGTGTCTCTGTCACCCCAGGACAACTAGATTCATTCTTTCTTTCTTTCTTTCTTTCTTTCTTTCTTTCTTTCTTTCTTTCTTTCTTTCTTTCTTTCTTTCTTTCTTTCTTTCTTTTATTTGAATAGTTGATTTAGAGCTGCAATCCTCTAGTTAAGAATATTTTATGATGGCAGGTGTCATCATTTGCTGACAAACAGTTTCTCAAGCTTTTATTTTTAGGGCAAAGAGGATTAAAGAAGCAATGATATTATTTTATTAATTTTTGAATAAGCAAGGTTTTTTATATAAGCAATTAGTGGAGAATGACCAGCATGAGAAATAGAAGTTTGTTCTCTGCTTCAGGCTATGATTAAACTCAGTGCTTAAGACAGAATTTTGTGGATTTTTAGCTCTGAATGTTGGCTTGAAATTCGTGGAAGGTGATCTTTTGTGAATGTTTTTGCTGTCACTGCAGCTTCATTTTGTAAAAATAAATTCCTAAAGTAAGCATCTTCATGGATCATCACAATGTAAATGCTAATGTCTCTCTAGGTGGGATGTTCAGAATTTTGCACTGTCTCTCATTTCGTTCTTACTGTACTTGTCAGCCAGTCAGAACCAGCTCTGTCCAACTGAATTAATTTCAAAATTAATTTGCCTATTAAGGGACAATGTTCCGTCTTCTTGCAGGAGAATGCTCAATGTCTTCTGTCAAAATACAGTGACAGTGTAGTCTGCTTTTCTGTCTGAAAGTGAAATCCCAGCCATCAGAGTTTAAACACTTCCCATTGTGAGACAGTCTGGCAACCAGTGATCAAAAACCCCATTATTTTATGGCTCTGCCTATTCTATTACTAAGGTAAAATCTGTGGTTTGGTTAGGCATCCTTCTTTTTGCATGATGGCTTGAAGATTATAGGATATGACTTCAAATCCTTTGCTGAAGCATTCAGTGAAGGGCATATTGCATGTAAACTGCAGAAAAATCTAAATTGGTGACATTTTCAAATGAACTTTGATATATAAGAGCAGTGTCATTAGAAATGGTTGCACAGAGAATGCCATCACCAGCATTCTAGGTGCTTGCACTTCTATTCCTGAGGCCTAGTCCTGAGACATCTTCTGAGTACAGAGGGGCCAGGACTTTCATCATGGCCTTTTTCCTGGAGCATATGCTCCCACCAAAAGCCTTTGCTAGGGTGTTAGGATATTCCCAACACCAGCACTAAGGTTGTTTTGTTTAATATGATATTTAAGCAGTTGCAGTTCTCTTTGTCAAGCCACATCTTCTTCTCACTCTAAATAATGAAGACATCTCTTCATTTTGGTTGGCTGTGGAGAGGCAAATATGTGAGTCAGCCACATTTTATTGTAGCCTTATTTGACAAACTAGAAATTATCTTTAAACCTTAAAGAGCCAATTTCAATACAGAAGCTTCACAGGTCACTTAATACGAAGTCTTTCTGATGAGACTAACAATTGTGATCAGAGCAAGAAAAGTCTTGGAAAATCCGTTGTGGAACTGATAATGGGATACCATTTGCTGTCTCCTGTGAAAGAATTTGTAGAGCAAGGAGGTAATCTGCTCTCATTTAAATATTAATTAATAATTTGCCTGAGAATGGGTGGCCTTCGTTTTACTTTATAGTCAAAGAAGAGATAGATCCTCATAAATCTCTCCATAAATGTACTGCAAAGAAACAGATAACCACAGATCTCAAAATGACAGTTGTAGTGGAAAAAATAACAATCTGGTTTTCACACCAGTTGTATGAGTAGTTTACATTCTATCAGTTCATGCTATTTATACCATATTTCTAACTATAGCTTGTAATTTGTTCCACACATATCAAATGTTTTCTTCTTGTCACTTACCATGAAACTTGAATAGAAGGAAGGCCTCTCTCAAACATATGTTTACTAGTAACTGTGTACATTTGGCTTGCTATAAAATGAACTGCTTTTGTGTTCTTCATGTGGTTTTATTCTCAACTGGGTACTGACACAAGAAAATATGGTTGACAGTGGTTTTGGGTGAACTGTTCAGATATGTAAGGCTGGCTTTGGAGACCTGAGATCTGCAAAGCAGGTGACTACTGTATGAGTGGGAACATGGTTTGTTGGAGCTGCTGCTCTTAAAGTTGTTCTCTCGAGGATGTGAACAATTTTTAACAGATGACAGAGTAATTTCTTATGGCAAATGCTCTATCTTAGAGATATATTTTGTAATTTAATCACTTGGTTGAGCCAGTCGGTTTTCTACTGAAGGATTTTTCACCTGTTCATGGAAGTAATTCTTTGATTTTTTTTTTTTTTTTACTCTTTGCATTTTTCTGTTGTGAAGGTATCTGTTATTAATAATACTCATTTAAACAGAATTTTTTTTTACGGAAGAAGCCAAAATATGTGCTAACGAAAACCGACTGAATAAATAAATATTATGGGACCTACTGGTGAGAGTAGGGAGTCTTGCAGTATTTTGGTGAGCAAATTCAAGGTATTTTCTAAAACATAATAACTTTTGCATGAATGCTAAGGGATTACTTGTTTCTACGTCTGTGTAAACTACAAATTACTACTGGTCATTTTTTTGTTGGCAGATATTCCAAGGATGTAGCACTGAATGGATTCCTTAGTAGCTGATCCAGAGAAGATGTTAAAAATAATTGGCTACAATGAAATTATTTTCTGAAACATTGTCTGACCAATGCTAGAAACACATTATTTAAATTCAAAAAGCTATACTGTCTGAATGTACTAACAGCAAAACTGCTAGTTTTGGAAAAACATTTTTAGTAGTTCCACTCTTGTAAAATCTGTACCTTTCCTATGGAAAAAAAAATTTTTCTTAGCAGTACAGGAGGCACTTTGTAAATGAAATATCAGAGATAAATCACTCTTGCTGCAGTGTGTTTCCCTGTTGTTTAATGTATCTGTTTCATTGCCGCTTAGTATCTTGTACTCAGTTTCATTACAGAAAAGGCGGGAGATCTTAAGAACCACGTTTTTGTTGTTTTGGTTTGGTTTGGGTTTTTTTTGTTGTTTTAATCCTTTATTACTCGTGAATGACAGGGAAATCCTGTTGATTGTACATTACATTAGAGATATGACTTACATCTTACATTAGAGATATGACTTTCATTGAACAAAACCTTTCCTTTAACATGCATTCATTTAATTCTTTAGCATTAGTATGTCGTCTTCAAATATTTTTGCATACTAATTATTTTGTCACCTTTTGAAAGCTTCCTCCTTTTGCATCCCTACAAAATATACTAACAGGGAACTGGGCAGTTCATGTTAAAGATCAACAACACATTTGTCACTTTGTGAAGGGGAATAGCCTAAAAATGGGCTGATTAGAATGATTGTACCCAACACCTTAGGACTGCCCTGGAGTGCACCCATGACCCTATTTCCCTGATTGTCTGTAGTATGAATTCTGCTGGATTGCAACATGTGTTGCTTCTTGCTTGCTCACACAGCAATTCCCTGGGCAAACCAGGATATGTGAAACGTGGGGAAATGTTGTGCAGTTGGTCTCTTCCTGACACTGCATTCGGTGTGGCCCCAGAGTTAGGACATCAACCTTTTTAAAAAATGGTGTGGGAGTGGAACAGTTGAGTGAGAACTCCCCAGGTTTCAGGGAATAAGGAAAAAATTATTTGAAGAGTTCAGAATCTGTAATTTGAAAAGGGGAATTTGCTGTGTCTCTTTTTAATATACAAAAGTTGACATGGAATAGAGTAAAAGATAGTTTAAAAATAATTTTAATAAAATTATTTCTCTTTCTGCAAAGTGATTCAGTTCCTTTAAGTTTAGGGAAGGTGTACTATTATTGATTAGTTCTCCAATTGTGTATACTGGATGTTAAGGAAGTGACTTCCCATAATGGCTGGATGGCTTAGCAAAGTGTAAAAATGATGCAGCGGGTGCTTTAAAACAAAACAAAACAAAAAAAAAGATTGAAATCAAATGTTTGCCTTACATCAGAGGGAAAAAAAAAGGCTTTGAAAAGATAAAATTCCAAAGCTTTTATCTTAGAGTTCACATTAAAAATATTTCTGACTTGTCTTTATTTATGGGGTTTAAAAAATCTCTTACAGTCCCCTGTTCAAGTAGAGACAGGCCTTTATGGAGATCATCAAGAAAAAGGATCTTGGAGAAATAGAAGAGGAGACTACCAGGATCTAAATTGTTTACCTTACCAAGTGTCAACTGGAGCACGACCTAAAACTGATGTAAGTAGCTACAACATTATCTGACTCACAGGTTCAGTAACCTCTAAATTTACTACGTATCATTAAAATTGTCTGTGCATTTCTTCTAAATAATTTGTTCCACACATACCAAATGTTTGATTCTTGCAAATATTGCTCTACATGGAGGAGTTTGGTTTGAAAAGTAGGTTGGACTTCAGGTAATGAGGCTCCAGGGCTGTGGGGTTTGTCTAATCTGATTTTAGGCCACTAATGAAAACTTCTATATCTGAACTAGTCACTTGGGTCGCCTCCATAGTCAGTGGAAAGAAACAGGCATTTCTAAAGCATAATTCATCTTGGGGTAACATGTGGTGAATTGCAGGCATCAGAGCCACTACCAGCGTTTTTATTCATGGCTTATTTTAGAAGAACTCTCTTAGGATTTTTTAGCTTGGCAGTCGGCTATGCCCAATTCATGGTGAACTCCACACTGCATTCTCTGCAAGCCTGAGTGCTCAGCTCTGGAGTTCTAGTTAAATCTTATTTCTAACCAATAATAGCAATATTTACTAGGTTGTTTTTGGGTTGTTTTTTTTTTAATGAGGTCATGGCTGCAGCCTGAATAAAAGTCCATCAAAATCCATCAGAATGTTTTCTCAAAAGGCTTTGATTTACTTTTCCAATAGCTAAATGTAAGCTACTTTAGAATCAGTGTCTGCATTTGGAAATGTAGATGGTTTCTGTCTCCCTGTTTAAAATTACTTGTGTGCCAGCAGTACTTGTGATCATCATACAACATAAAAAGTGGCTGCACTGGATTGAACCAAAAGTACTTATTGCCCTGTATCCTTTTTTGGCAGTGGCCAGTGTTGGATGTTCAGGAAAGAAGTGTAAGGACGTAGTAAGCAGATAGTAAGCCACCTCAACTTCCTTTGAGGTATTTATCATGCAGACAGATTGAAGACAGACACTATATTGCTTTTTTGTAATTAACAGCCCCTAAAAGTCTTTTTTTTACTCTAAATGTGTCTTTTGCACTAATTTGTATTTGTTTGTTCTTTTTATATTCAATGTCTTGTAGCAATTATTTCCAAAGTTGAATTGTGCAGTAGGTGATGCAACACCTTTTCCTTATTGTTAATTTGTTACTGGCATTTTCAGACATTGGCATCACATTTGCCACCCCCTTTTTCTCCTATCCCTAAGCCAATAGGTCTTAGCAGTAATTGCACATTAAGCCGACATCTCAGCAGTTCTCTTTCCCCAAACGAGGTCCTTATTTTAAGTTATCCTGTGCAATTTTGATTAAAGTAAAATCTATTATAATAAATAGATCTTGAACACTGTCATATTCATCTACCAAGGAATGATATGCATGCCACCATAAAAATTCTCTATTTCATTAAATGAACCTACTCCAGTGCACTGAAAAGGAAATTTGAAGGTTGGCTCCATTTGCTTGCTAATTGAAAACATTATTGTCTTCCCACTAGCTATTTCCTTTCCTTGGAAAAGAAGTTTGCCGTTTTCCATTTTTGCAAAAGCACAAACATTTGTTCTGATTTGTTACCTGTTCTAGTTGGAATAGATAACAGAATTAATTAAATAGAAACTTGCCAACTTTATTTGTTTTTCTACCTTGGCCAAATGTTCAGGCATGTACAAGTGTCACGGCTTAGCTGCCTGCCCACTAGTACTATGTAAATATTTTCAAAGTGGTGTTGCAGTAGTACTCTTGTTTGGCTAGTGGTGTGTGGGAGGAAAGGAAGAGAAAGTAAGTTTTAGGGGTTTTTTATTTTCTGAAGTCTGCTTTCTTTTCTTTTTGTTGAAAATCAGGAAATACGAGAAAAAGCAGTTCTACAGATCCTTATCAGTACCAGTCTGTGCATCGTATCAATCATTTTTGTATACTGGAGTAAGAGCAGGGTAATGCACAAAGTACAGATGTTTCTTAGTTTAGAAACTTACTGAAGGCAAGAATTTCTTGAGAAATTAGTGAGCTGTTTTTTAATTGGACAGTGCTTTATATTAGGAATAAATGTTGAAACTGGGTGTCTGCAAATGTCATTCAGGAGAGCTATCATTTTATTTCCTTCAAAGTGCTGCTTTTGGTGCTCTTTTTCTTGCAAATTCAAATAATTCTGTGTCTAGCTCCAGGCATGCAGTCTGCATGAGTCTGTTATATCTCTCCAATATACAGATTTTTCACTGTTTATTCTTTAAGGTACAGACTTTTCCATATTATTTGGAAAGGGTATACTGAAGTTGCTTTTGTTATAGTAAATGGGGTGACACTGAATAACAAAAGGTCTCATTCATTCCATGTCACACCCTGGCTGCATCTGTTTAACTCCCATGATCCAGATGGTATAATACACAACTTGGGAGTAACACAACATTTTGATGATCCAATTTTTCTTCTCTTCCAATTTTTTGTGAGTCAAAAGGTCCAAAAGAACGTATCTGTCTCTGGTCCCCGGGAGCTCATATACCCAAGAGATTTAAAGAAAGGAATACTTAAGTTATTGAGATTAACAAATATAACACTGACCAGTTCTAGAAATAGCAGAGATGCTTCAATTCAGGAATGATATGCAGAGATTAGACAGGACACAGTGTTCATTTCTCAATACAAGGCAATGATGTTAGCTGCACACTTTTCATGGATACCAACTAGGGCAAAAGCCTAAAAGATACAATGATGCGTTCTTTGGCAAACTTGTCACAGTAGGTATGCTGTTTGTACACCTGTTTTTGTGACTTGCACTTCTTATGATATTTTTGTAGAATTAAAAAGCAAATCATGGGTTTAGGCTGATGTCTCCTGTCCTTCCTTCCCCCTCCCCACCAAGGCTGCTTCACTGAAACTTTCTTTTTGAGGTAATACAGGAAATACATACCTAAGATGGCAGGGAAGTCAGGTGCTCGAGAGACAAACAGGAGAGTTTCACCTGACAATTGCTGGCATTTGTAAATCCATGTCTACATTATAGAGCTTCCATTAACGGAGAGGAAAAAGCCCATCTATAGCAAGACACACCTTGCCTTGAAGCAGTCGCCTGAATGGAGGTCTCTTGCTGACATACTTTGTGCCCCCAAAGTGCTGATGTTGCTTGGTCAAGTATTTGAAGAAATGACTGCCCAAAGCATCAGTGCTTTGGGCTGGATAAACTAAATCCCTCCCAGCGCATATAAATTACAATCTTGCATTTGATGGGTAGTGCCTGCCTCTCTATGCTCTGAGCAAAGAAAACTTTTGATAGTCTAACTTAGGAGTCTAATGGTGGTGTGAAGTACCACACCAGGCTCTCTAGCTCTTGCAGGTAGTGCAAGTAATGCTCTGCACTATGCAATCTGTGAACGAGCAAGAAAACAAAGCTTCATGTATTGTTAAAAAGGGCTTTTTCCTTTATCTGTTGTAAGTCTGCATTTTTGTTTTCTTTTTAAATACAGTTGAGGAGCACAGTTTTGATTTCTTATGCTTTAGTTTGATAAATGGCTTGAACATATTAAATCAATAGGACTAAAATTAATGATTTTACAGTTTTGGGGCTTGTTTTAGCCTGGATTCTCAGTCTGAGTCACTGCTCAGATTTGATTATGTGGGCTGGTAAACGAGCAAGAGAGGGTCATAGTGCTGGAGATGAGGCAGGGCAAACAGCTTCTTTCACATCAGTGTCAGCTTCTGGTAGTTTACACTGTGAACTATAGTTTATCTGTGCTAAGCCATTTGAGTCAGAAAATGAGGAGCAAAACTGCCCTGTAACCTACATGACTGAAGCGTTTATGATTCCTTCAAGATTTTTTTTTCCCTGAGAAATGTTAGTTGATGCTATAAATAGTGTTTCAGAGTTTAGGCCAGAGGTTCCAGGGATGTCTGATATCTTCTGACATTGTTTAGAAATATAAAACTAATAAGGCAGTAATCTATGGCTATTATCTCTCTGTAGTAAGTGTAATGCTTTTCTGACCCTCTGACCATGTTTGAGGCAGAGAAATTAAAAAATAAAAACAACTGAAGCAAAGTCAGAATCACTGTGTTTCTCGTGCACTACTTGTTCGATATTGCTGGCTCTGGACCACCAGGGATCAGAGATTTCTCCATTAGTGAGCATGTGTAACAAGCAGAAAAGGTTATCATGTGGCAACTCATAACAGTTTTTACTTTGCTAGCACTCTTTGGAATTTTGAGGATCTTAAGCTATTTAAAAGCCGTGAGCTGATCCTTCATTTCGCCACAAAATATGTAAGCAGTCATAATTTTACATCTGAGATTAGAAGTGCCTAAGCCTGAAATAAGTTTCACGCACTGTCACTGCTGGATACAGTCATAAATTTTTCAGTACATGGTAGAATTTATAGTGACAATTGCATCCATTATCTAGTAGGGTGTGTTTCTCAAGGTGAAGGTAAGGCAGATCATGCTTTACTCTGACCTTGCCCCCCGTTGACAAAGTTGATAGTAAAGCCTCAGGAAGACTTGTGCAATCTCTGGGCAAAGATTTCCATCCTGGATTTGGGCTACTCTGTATGATGAGGTACAAGAAGATGAAGAAGCCTAGACCTGAATGATGAAGGCATGGCATTTAATGCTCTATTTCCTCAAAGAGGTAGCGTGTTTGAAGACAAAATTATTTGGCTATGTTGGAGCTGAAGATTTCTGTCTATACTTCAACTAAATGCACTTGTAAAAGTACCATCGCTCATGCAGAAGAGGTACAGAAATTTTTGCAGAAATCAGGTTTTCATTCTCAAAGTCTCAAAACCGTCTGATTGGTTGCGAAATGGTCAAGAGCAGGATCTATATACAGTCTCTGATTTTACTTACCAGACCATCCTTCCTCATAAAGTGTGCTAACTCCAATTGTTCCCATTCTTGGAAAAACAAATTTCAAACTTTAGTCCTTTGTGTCCTTTAGTCATGTGAAATGCTTTCCTCTTTATCCTTAATGTTGCCATTAATTATGTCAGCAAAGTAGCTCTCCAGTACAGACGTGGGTAGCTCAAAACCTTGTCTTTGCATAATCTTTCTTCTTGTCCTCAGTACTTAATCTCACCAGTGTCTCAATGGGACGGAGTCATGCTGAAGTAGTCAGGTAGGTGACCCACTCCACTTTCAGGTGTATCCCAATATGATGCATTTTTGTGCCTCTGAACAGGATGGCTGCCTTCCTGTTCTTCCCCTGCTCTGTCTGCACAATGAGGACATTGAGACACCTTTCTTTCCCAGGAGCACTCTAGACTTGCAGTCATTTCTGAGATGATCAAGTGCTCCTGAAAGACAAAATCTTCTCTAATTTAAGACTAAGTAGTTTCTTGGCCGTAAAAGAATTCACTGCCCAGGAAGAGCTTGTACTAACTCTAATGAAAATCAATAATAGGGAGTGAAGGGGAGATACCTCCCTTCCTTCCTGAGAGCCGTATATTCTGACATCTATAGTACTCCAGGCTTTCTCATCTGCTTTGTTTTCAGTGCACTTGACAGCACTCTGGCCACAGTGTGCTCCTAACCAGGACTGGTTGCAAACATAAGAACTCAGCATAGCCCCTTCTTTTCCTTTTTGTCTTTATTTCCTTCTCCCAACAGTCAGCTC